GCCTTTTTTCCCCCCCCCCTTGGAAAGGCGAATTCCAAGTACACTGCACATTATGAAACGTGTCTCTCTCGTTTAGGCTAAAAACAATAACAGAGGGTTTTCGAACTGAGGAATACAAACATCACACTTAAATATCCGAGGATAAGTGATCTCCAAGAAACTGAACGAGTTTCACAGCATCTCGACCAGCCTGAAGAAATGTGTCCGGTAACCGACGTCTTGGCTGTTTTTGGCTTGAAGGCCGTCTGTGTGTATCTGCCATTCTAGCGGACCACATTGCATACATATTTTGTGATCTATCTGTGAACTATTAACCCGCCTACCAATGAAAATGAAATCAACAGATTACCGCATCACGTGACCTGATGTTCATGGCCTCAATCATTGTGTAAAAATGTTTCATCTTCTCTTCCGCACAAAGGTAGTGTACCCAGGAGGCCCACACAAATTACAAGTAACCTTGACCCTAATGGTTAAGGAATTCCCCAATGCATTCAGTGTAGTTAGGCTTGGAAACATGAATCGGAACCCTGGTGTTTCAACCAAAAACTCTGGACAATGTAATCACTCTCTGTTTGGATGCTACTCCACGGTTTACACTCTTTTTCCATCAGCGGGTAACTGTTGCTTAACTGTGGGCCGTAGGTGATATCCATTACGTGATAGAGAAAAATCAAGTTACTGAAATTTCATTTGTGTGAATGGAGAAAAGGATGGTGATTCGGAATGATGAATAGAACAGAACAGAATGCACAACAAAGTGCAGTTATCTGACGGGACAGATAGAACTACGGATTTAGGTGAGCAGTGCAAACTATACTCGTTTGCACACAACTTGGTTGTACCTAGCGATTTGGGTGAATCCAAGCTGGAGCTCTGGTCTATGATATTTTCCAGCTCAAAGGCTAGTTCTTTTTGATAGCCAAATTCTAGATTCATTTTTCGTTGGTGACTCTTTCTACGCGTTTCTCATCGAATTCAGACTGGGCAGGCTTTGAAGGTTATTCAAAATCTCCACTGAATATTATTGATTTTTAATTCCCGGTGACATTCTGTGCAAAAAGCCTTCAGATCTTTTCATCTGCGGTTACCAATGGACCGCAATCTTTTAAAGTTTTATGTGCTGTGTCTGATCGACTTTGTCCAGGGCTGTTACCACCGCAAACCTTCAAGTTGTAGCGACCAATCTGATCTCCGTGATCACAAAGGCCATACAGACAGTCTATCGACTTTTCACGAGTGGGAGACCAATTTATTTTCCAAACTCGATCCAGCTAAAACTGGCATGGTTTTGACAAAGGCATCCGAAAAGACCGCGCCGCGACAAGCTGATAACTAAAGTACACTGGAGCCCAACGCTGAATGGGAGGTGCAACCGAATCGAAGGCAATCAGTTTGATTCGCATCAGGTAGATTTGGGTTGGAAATTTCAAAAAAGTTGAAATGAAATTTTTTTCTGTTTTACATGTATTTTTTACTGTGTACAATTTCTACGGGCATGGATATATAAGTTTCATGAACTTCATTCACATGACAGTTCAAAGTGAAATCAAAATTCGAGTACTATCGCACTGACCTTTTGAACACTGAAACAATCTCGGAAACCATGCTAAAATAATGTAAAAGTGAACAATCTGTAGGTCGTCCAGTTTTTTTTGTTTCGTGAATAAGATAAATGGACTGGTGGTCTTTGTTTAGCCCCCAACAAATTGGGGTATGGCCTCACTCTGAACGCTGTGTCTGGCTGTTTGACTAGACAATACACGCCAGTCAAATCCGTTCCTATTTCGCGAGCGGTAAATGTTCATGTGGTAAACAGAGTTGGTATTTAATGCAACGTGTACGCGAAAACTGGGGTCAACAAATGTCCGAAATCCATCACCTATTTTTCACTTTTAAAACGGTCCAAAAACCCATGAGTATTCACCAATGGATTTCATAATAACGGACTCTAAATGTGATGGAGACGCTGTTCTAACTTTGTCAACCTTCATCCTGAAAATGATGTTGAATGTTTTCGGAACAAAATCACATTTCACATCATGCACCCAAACAGGCCCAACATTAATAATATAATTGGCGGTAAACTCACCGAGTCTCTCGAGAGTGGACTGTCGGTGGCTCACTTTGATTAGATAGTGAAAAGATGCACGGGTATCGATTACTGACGGATAACAGTGTTTGTGTAGGATCGATTTTTCTATCTACCAATTTACGGTGAGGCCTAAAACTATACGCAAAGACCATGGGTTTCCCTTTCCGGTTGTCTATCCCATCTGATATACACCAAGCTAATTAATAATGTAAAAAAAACGAGATAATAAATTAATGTATACGACGACAACGGTTCAGATATTCACCCGGTAAAGATCTCCTGTGCGTTGCAACTGATGAGTTTAAGGGTAGTCTCAACCTGTCGAGGAATCAAGTTGCGCCGGTACGATCTAGCTTTTGACGTCACAGCCTATGGTAAATGCTACCCACTTGCCTGAGGCGCATCTCTCGTGACACTCAAATCATGGACTGCATGACAGTGATCCGAGGTCAGTGTTGAACGCCTCGCTCGTGATGGACAAAACGAGTGGTTGTGAGTATGAGATCACAGAAACTGTGGGGCCATGACCTCCATCCATCGTAAAGA